TTCCACAGGAAACTGAATTATCAGAGTTTCTTTTCATAGCAGGGCTTTGAGTCTGTGGTACACTTGGAATGGACCCATTTTGTTTGAGAGGCAGGTTTCTCCCTGGATTAGATGTTGGTGGTAAGGTGGGAATTTTTCTTTGGGCCATCTCTTGATGTGGTACCTGCTGTCTTGCTTTTTTCTTCTATTAATATGCACAAGTTAGAGAAATAATAATTAGTTTATAGAGAGAAAATACAAATGTGATAACAGTATTTTTTTGTGTGCTGGATAAGAACTTCAAGTAGCTCTTCTATAAATAAATATTGTAGCATAATGAAAGTGACTTTAATTCGAGTCTGCTTTCAAATATTATTGATTTTTCAGGCTGGGCAAAGAAAAAGGGAGTAATTTCCAGCCTAACAGTAAATCACATCTCACAACTGTGCATCATTGAAAGTTTGCACTGGCTATGGTAAAATTAGCTGACTTGATTTCTCAGACCAGCGAAGACAACAATGCAAATAAAAACCTGAATAGGTCAGCATCTAGCACAGTAAATATGTTAAACATTAATTTTTATGAAAAAAATAGGCATTGTGAGCATTATCTTTGAAGCTGTTCTTGGATGAGATTGGGTAAATATGGTTGATGCTCTCTTTTCAATCCAAAGGCAGCAGGGAATTTTCTCAGAGCATTTAGAAGGTTACAAAAATTCTCCAAAGTTTTAGAAAGCCTCAACTTTATCTAATTTCCGTATAAATTTCAAGAATTTTCTCAATCTCCAAGCGCTAAGCCAAGGATACCTATATATATATATATACAGTCCATGCCAAAGTAAATAGTCAAAGCTGCCGTCATACTTACTCCAGTCTGTTGTTGATTCACCAATGTCTCTACATCACTTCCTCCTGATTCTTCTTCCTCTGAAAGTTCCCAGCTTTAAAAAACAAAGATCACAAGAATCACAATCTAGAACCTAATAAGCCTACACATTCTTATGCATTTAAAAAAAACATGATTGTTCTGAATGTTTTATGGGTTTTTCGTGACCTCACATCATGAGATTTGTTTCAGAATAATGTTTAACAATCACCAATCAAAAATTTCCTTTTTTCATTGTTCCTAAAAGGATCATTACCCTCACTTTCAATTATTTTCTATGAATATAACTTTATATGACCAATCCTCAAATCCCATGACTTCCTTAGCATGGAGGATGAGCAATTTTACCAGACAAACACAAACCTTGCAGGCTGGTGAAAAAAGTGCCCTATATTTGTCACTTTAAATCTATAAAATGTAGACTTCATTTTGATAATACTTTAACCATTTATCAGGGTTCCTCCTCCTTCAATGCCTATTCATGACCTTATTCACAATGTTTTCAACTTTTCATTTGACTTACTAAAGACGCGACTTTTTTCAAAAATATGAGAACACTCATCCTTTGTTTAATGTATTTATTGCTATACTGCTCTGATAACAATTATTCCATAGTTTTCCAAAGCTCTCTATGACCCTTCATACCATTACTCTCAAGGCCACGATGCAATTCCAAGGCTTTTTCATATCTCCTTGCAAGTGAAAACCCCGTTACTTGTGTAAGCATAGGCAACTTTACTATAAATGACAGATATCCCTTTCGCTCCCAAGATCTCAATACAATTTTTCGTTACAGTCTGAAAAACATTTCATCAAATTGAAGCTTTGAGAATTTGGTGCCCAATCACCCTTTCGCTTGACATTATATTGATAATGCTTGAAGAAAATCTTAATCGGTCACTCCTGGGAGTGAAAGGTTATCTTTGGGAAGTGACTACATATAAAATGAAGTTATAAATTAAGATTTAATAGACTGTATGGAAGCCACTCAAAAAAAAAACTTATGAAGTCAAATGACATATTGGTTTCAAATTGGATAAGAGAGAAGGTAAGTTTTGAGTTCATTAAAGAAATAGAGAAAGATGTTTTTTGTCTTGTCACAAGTGTAGGACTCAGAATTTTTTCTTCGTCTCATGCTCATGAAAAGATGAAAAACATCTTTCTTTATGTCAGTTTCCGTTATAACATAATAAATGTTGGAATAAAGTGATAATAATAGTGACATTTCTATCCTGCTGATTCAAAACAAAGTTCAAATATATATATGTACATAATATAACATTAACACAATGGTATAAATACATGCTAAAACCAAATGTACTTACTGTGGAGTTTCTCTCACATCAATTTCATCTATGTTTCTATCAAAGAATGTCTCGTCTAGGTAAAACAAAGAATACACTGTGTTAATGAATACATCCTTGTATGTATTCAAGGGGAAACAGAACTGCTTTGGAACAAAGCCTGGTGTATGTTTTGATGAGAAATTAGAAAAGTAGGAACAAACCAAACAAATATAAATAGGAAGTACTTGTTTCTTGGCTTACAACAAAAACTGCTGTTAACCCTTTACACCCTAAAATCAGTATGCATATTCTCCATACTGCTCTTTATACATTTCCTAAGGTATCGACAAGGAGAATTTGTTTACCAATCAAAAGCTTATTTGGTTAGTGATCACTTCCTTTATTCTCATGACCTTAATGTGTGATTCAGGGGTGACAATGTAAGGAGAAATTTGATGCCAGTTACTCTTAGGGTTTAAAGTGTTAAGGTCACTACTTTTGCAAGGTCATTGCATGCTTTTCCAGAGGCAGCTTCTTTTTTCCATGCATCATATTTACACCAACTTTTTAGAGGTAGCTACTTTTAGGATTGAGAGGAAAGTGGAGCTACTGATAAAGCACAATCAGACCAGCACAACAAACTGATTATTGATCTCCTTTATAGAACATCGATGACAAGTTTTGACGCTTAATTTCATATCTTACATCAAGAAAAAAGTTTTAATTACTGTAATTGGTCTTCACTAATCATAAATGAACAAAAAAATCGTTCTCCTACGCAGTTATGCACTTCAGAAATTATTTTAAATGACTACATTGTCAGTGAATGATAGAATATACAGATCTTTATACCCTTAAATGCTTTTTTTAAGAGTGACTAGCGACAGGTTTAAAAGAAGTTAGAAACTTTAAACAGTAAATATTTACGAAGGCAGAGGGCATGTAATGGGCTTATATGGAATGTTTGCTGTTACAGAATGGTGCTTGTCTGACAAGTACCTGTCTTGCTTGAGTCAAGACAGACCAAACACGTTTAGGAAAATGCGTCAAAATTTCAGAGGTTGAGACAAACATGATAGATGAAACAAGGCGAAGAGAAACATCAAAGCTTACTAGATCAAATACAACGCGTTGAAGCTTAAAACCCTAGTAGTAACCTTAAAAACGAAAACTCTCCAGAACGACGAAGGCCATTCAACGCAGAGACAAGGTCAAACAAACATCTGTGAAACTCGTTGACAGGAAAAATTGCAGATATATGAACACATTGCGATCGTTTGGATATCTTCGACGCGCGCGACCTTCAATTACACATATGGTACTTACTACAAGAAAGACGAAGCAAACTTTAGCAATGTTACCATAATTGAAAAGACGGTTGCCACAACACCTAATAACTGAATACATCACCGTTAAGACGTACCTATGTCATCTATTTCCATATCACGTACTAACGCTTTGCTTCCAAACTTCGATCCTTCCAGTCGCCGAAATGTTCCCAATGTTGTTATGCTCAGTGATGAAAATGGTTTCCAGAGCGCTTCATAAGCGGTTGAAGTATGGCGGTATTCACAGAGTTGTCACACAAAAGAAACGTCTGTACGTTTATATTGTCGGCAAGCACAAGAGGGTCGAAAATTGTCCAATAACCCTCCTACACTTCCCGAAAAAGCAGACCGACAAAGAATCGTGGGGTGATGTGTACGGCGACACGAAACAGTGAACATTCACCGACGAAAAAAATTCAACAGAAAGGCAATGATTACAACAAACAACCAAAACCGGCTTTTTGATTCATCAGCGCGAGAGGTTTCGGCAGTTCATTCAAAATACTCCTGCAAGAAGCCTTCAAACAACAACAAAGTTGCCGACATCTTTTCCACTAAAGCGTCGAGGGGCACACTGGGCCATTATTCAAATGACCTAACAGCGAGGAGTTTCTAGAGCTCAGTCCCCAGCGACAATTATACCACGAGGGAAACTAGTAATCTATTTAAAAGACCAAAAGCAAGCGAAATAATTTTTAAAAAACGAGTTGTTTTTTTAGCCATGTTGATAATTACTTATATTCGACTTCCTCTATCGGCGAGCAACAACAGAGGAGAAATAAATGGCGATGCGTACAATCGATTCTTACCGACGGCGCGTTGACGGACCGTCTCTTGCACAAGGCGTGCAATACATTCTGTGAAACTTAATGTATTTAGGCATACTATCTATTTATAAATGTGACCGCTCTAGACGCCTGGAGCTGGTAAATATTTGACGATGGAACTTGACGTTAGCAAAAAATTATACCCTGGACTTTACCTAGATCTGCAGGTTAACTGGGACTTCGAACAGTGAATCGCACTAAAAATCTGCGCCTGGCATACAAATTGTGTTCCTCATCAAATCTATGCTCTTGTCATGTTCTTAAGAATCACTTGTTTTGCTCACTTGAACCTAAGACAAAGTCTTACTAAGGTAGAAGACTGCAAACAAGTGTCCCTTTGAAATAAGCGCCCCAAACACTAATTCGAGCGTTTGGTGTCAATTAAGGCGATACTGTAGAGTGCCCTTTGTAGCAGAGATGTGGGACCACTATGCCAGCGACATACGCTACATTTATCAAATTTGGCGCAGGATTCCCCGTGATAACCAACAAATCATTACATAACCAAAGCATTTTTTACTATCGCTATATCGCAGTTGTCGCACTGTTTAAAATTTAACCGGATCCTGCCCCAATTGTGATGAGAAAGTCGGTCGTCCGACTTTCATTTAAACTTGATTCTGGATTTAGATTTAACTCAATAAATTTCACACAAGTTAACATCAAAATGACACCTGAGACCAATAAGAAGTAAGTTTTATACAGAAGTACGTTGCATTTATTTAAAGGCAATTTGTACAAATGCGAAAAATACTTTGCTTTCGGCAGATTGCACTGCAATAATTTACCTGTAAGATAGTTTTACCATACTAAGAGCGTAGAGTGTGCCTTTCCTTTTAAAATAGTACCCACAAAAGAAACCATGTACATTATGTAAAGCTGATAGAAAGAAGGTCCGAAACGTTTTTCTGTCCTTTTCAACCCATTCACTCTCAAGATCCAATCAGTAATTCTACCAACTGACAATTCTACCAAGTCATTCTGAATTAGAGAGGAGAATTCGATCTTTACATTGGGACCGCATTGAGAAATCAAATGACAGTTATCTCGGGGTGTTAAAGGGTTGACTTAATAAAGTACATATCAGGGAAACGAATATTTTTACTTGGACACACAGAATAGAGCTCTAAAGCGCTACTCGACTCGTAACCCTTCCAAAGGCTGATCTCTGGACTTGCATTCAGCCATTAGACGAAAACTACCCACTTACTTACCAGGCCCCCTCCTCTTTACCACAATTCATCTCAGTTTGCTCTGCCAGTCAGACCTAAATTTGGGCTATCAAGAATAATCTTTTGACCGAACGCCTTAAATTGTACATGACTAGGCTTTATTAGATGCTTAACTATAATTTTCTTAAAAAAAGCTTTCGCCGATAAAAATGTGCCCGTTCTGACACAGATGGTCTTAGAAGCAGGCTTACAAGAGAACTAAGCAAAAATTATTCTTATCTTGATATTTCTCAATCTTTAAAGCCATAAGAAGATTAACTGCCCAGCAGTAACTTCAGTTTCATTATTAAATACTTTGAAAGATATTAGTGGACGCCTCTTTCAAGGAAAAACTCATTTAAGAAGTG